TGGGACTTTGGTGCATTTTTGTGAGCAAAAGGGACTCCCTGGTTTCACAAAGGTCAGAAAGGCACGTGATGGAAGGGAAGTAAAAAACTAAGCAGGGAAAACCCCAAGTCCCAATTCCACATCTCTGTCACGGGACACTTCCATTCATTCCCCTCGCTTCTGTGCTCCCCTTTATGAGAAGTGGCTGGATCTGAGGGCTCAGAGTGCTCCTGCTCAGGACATTCCCTGGCTGCTGGGCTCAGACATGACATTCCAAACTCTGGATACAGCAGGAGCACACACAACACCCCCCCACTCACAGCTGCTGGTCTCGGTTCCGGTAAATCTTCCCATCCTGCTTGATCAGGTACTGGTCGATCTCATCCTCCACCACCTGGGGGGCAGCCCCAGGCCGGGAATTTTGGGAGACAGAGGTGTCCATGGTCTCTGAGGAGGAGCCAGCTGGGCTCAGGGGGTACAGGAACAGCATATCCCCGTGCCTGCAGGGGTGGGAGACAGCACACAGGTAGTGGGAGGGGTGGGAAACAGCACCCAGGAAGCTGGAGCTGCTTCCCAGCCGACCTCCTGGAACATGGAAGAGCATGGAATGTGCCCCAAAGTATAATCAGACTAGCTCAGGTGGCAGCTGGAAGCTGCTCCATCAGCCACCTCTTCCTGCTGCTGTGGTCATTTGCCACAATAAACGTAAAACCTTTTCATCAAGAGACACAACCGAGGGGAAAAGATGGAGAAAAAGGCAAAGGGAATCTATGGAGAGAGCCAACAGCTCCAGGAGGGAAAAGGAGTAGTGTGGATCCCATGTGGATCAAGCCATACCCTTCCCAAGGCAGCTGCCAGCTGGCACATTCCAGGGACACGCTGCGCATGGGATGTGATTTTTCCCACTGCTGCCCATTTTGGAAGCTCCAAGCAGAGTCCCCCACGCTGGAAAAACCCTTCCCATGGGGACTCACTTGATTTTGAGCAGGTTGAGGGATTTGTTCTGGGCTGCTGTGATCTCCCCTGTCCTGTTCCTGTTGGTGTACACGGAAAAGCCATTATTCCTGAAGCCAAATTCCTTGGCGACCTGAAAGACGGGGGAGAAGGACAAGGTGTGAGGTGTCTGAGGGCTGGAAGGGGCTCAGAGCCAGAGCTGATCCCAGGGAACTCCTACTGCAGGAATTCAGCACAGTTCTGAGCTCAGGATAATGGGGAGACATGGAAGAAACACCTGGAAACACAAGCAATGGATTAAACCAGGAATTTAAACACCCAGAATGTGTCTCTCCCTCACACAACACGAATGCAGAGTTTGATCTAAATCCAGGCAAGCACTGCAGGACTGCAGGGAGAAACTTCTCCACTATCCCAGTTCTCCCTGTTTTCTTGCTCCAGCCACACCAACAAGTCATTCCCATCCTCCTGGGACCAGAATTCCTCATCCATACCTTCACCTCTGTGGATCTTTTGCCCTCAGCTCCGCTCCCACCAACCAGTTGCTTCACTCAACCTCTTCCCACTGTTCCGCCTGTTTATCCCCACTTTCCTCCTCTCTCCCATGGAATTCACCCCCAAAACAGCCACCTCTCAGCCCCCACGCTGGTTTTCCCTGCTCAGTTTAAGGCTGATTTACTTGGGATCAGTCCAACACCTCTTCCCAGCAACAATAATTTACACATTTGGCCACTTGAAAACATCATCAGTTCAAAAATGGTGTTCAGAGTTCCTCCACTTGACAAGTTTTGCCCCAAATTCTTAAGTCAATGGCCTTTATTCTTAATAATAAAAATAATCCCTGTGGCTTTGGGAACAGGGAATGCCCCCAGGACAAATGTGATGAGACACAAAGAACTGTCACATGAGCAAAGCCATGAAAAGCAGGGGATTTTTTTCCTGTCAGCTCCACTGTGATTTGCAGCAGTGAGTGATCCGTGTGAATGGGACCCTTTCATGGGGATCAGCTCCTGCTCCTCGGGCCACAGAATTCCATTTCTGGGGCAGACAAATCCCACAACACATTAACAACAGGTTTGAGTTGATTCCCGACTCGATTCTACCCTGAGCAGAGCCAGAGTCACTTTTTTAGGGCTTTTCCCTGGGTGTGGTACAAGAGACAGGGAGGATTATCCGATCCCGTATTCCTTGCACACTTCTGGAGCTTCTCTGGAGCAGATCCAAGTTAATTCCCTGTAGGGAAGTAGCAATCTGATGCCTCTCTAATTCCAGCTGTCCCCCTAAACACCAACCCCACTCCCTGGGTGAACATTCCAGGGTTAAAATCCACAGCACAGGTAGGAGAGATCTGGATTAAGATAAAACATGGATCTCAGGTGGCAAAATTTGCCCCTTTTCTCTTCCAAGTAAACCCTGGAAATAAACCCACACAGGTCTTGTGTTTGGCTCAGCAAGAGGACAGAACCTTCCCCAGACCAACAGGCCATTCCAGGTGCTTCTGTCCTGGCAGGAAGTGTTTTCCAGCCATTGTTCCACACTGCCTCAGGTAACCTGAGCCCTGGAAAGCAGCAGCTTGTTCTGCACAGGCTCCAGAGATCCTGAGAGCTTTTTTTCCCTCGGGTGAGGCTGCTCAGAGGCTCCAGTGGTGTCCCTGAGCCAGCCCTGGAATCCAGGAAGATTTTTCCTGGCCAGGTGGGAATGCTGTCAGGGAATGCTGTTGGGTCTGGGCTTCAAACAAAGCAAATGACTCACAGAGAGCAGGTTTTGGGCTGCTCCCATCCCCTTCCCTCTCACAAGGAGAACAAAGAAAGCCCAGTCTGAGGGTTCCAGGCAGCAGAGGAGTTCCAGGAGGGAATGAAATGGAGAGCTGCTCACTCCTAAAGAGCAAACTGACCACGGAGCAGCTGCATCACCCCACAGCCAGCCCCCCTGACAGCTCCCACGTGGCATGTTCCCTCAGCCAGGGGGAAAATCCTGCCCAGAGCTCCCTCAATCCCTCCCTTGCTCTCTCCAGCAGCACACACAACACGTCCAAACAACATTCCAAGCCCAAATCCAGCAGCTGAGCCAGGCCTGGACCCTGGTTTGACCATCCCCCAGCTCCCCTGTGCCATTGTCACCCTCTTCTTCCCAGCTGCCACTTCTTTGGGAGAACCCTAAAAAACGTCCTTCCTGGGAAAGCTCCCACCCCAGGGGACCCCAACGGAGAAGCTGAGGGAGTTTATTTTCTTTAAATGTGTTATTTTCCCTCTGGAACAGCAGGAGTTACCCCAACAGAAGTGTGGGTTTCCCCCTGGAATGCTGTCCTGTGCTGCTGGCAGTGAGATCAAACACAGGTATCCCATGGGATAAGCAGTGGGAGCCCTGCCCCATCCCTTGGGGAGGCACAGGGGGTCCTGGGGTACCTTTTTGAGGAACGTTGCCACCGTCTCTCTCTTGGTGGCCGTGATTCTCTTCACTCCCTCGGGCGACTGCACACGGATGATCTGGGGAGGAGAGGACAGTGGGTCACGGAGGGGGACAGAGCCCACCCTGAGCCCCCAGCCCTGCATTCCCCTGCTCCTCCCTCCCATTCCCATCTTCCAGAGGGTCTGGGAACACCCAAGGGGGCAGCACTGGGTGGTGTCTGCAAGCACAGGGGTGGAACCATCCCAATGCTCCGGTAGGAGCTTCTCCAAGGAAAACATTTCTCTGAGCTCAGAGCTGGAATTAAACCCTCAGGAGGGTGGATCAGAGCTCCCAAGGGGGGGTTATTCATGCAGGCACCGGTGCAACTGGTGTTACTGGGCACTGCACTGGTCGTGGCTGAGCCCTGGTTATCAGGAGATGGGGAGAGGCTTGGGCTGCTCCCGGGAAACCAGAGCTCAGGAACGGGAAAACCGGCAGATTCGGGGGGGGGGGGGGGGGGGGGGGGGGGCCGGGGGGGGCCTTCGGGTGCAGACAGGGAAGGGGCAAAGGTAAACCCCGCAGTCCCGGGGCGTGGAGGGGCTGGAGCTGTTCTCAAGGGGCCGTTCAACCGCTCCCGGGGGACACGAGGACACGGGCAGGGGGCGGCGTGTGTGGGGAGGGGACACGGGGGACACGAGGGGACACGGAGGGGGACACGGGGGGAGCTGCCCGTGTCCCGCCGTCACCCCTTCTCACTCTCTCAACTTCCATCCCGGGCACAAGCCCGCTGGGACGGGACCGGGAGCCCTTCACCGGCCCCACCAGCTCCTTCTCCACCTCCCCCCCGAGCCCCCGCCCGGGGCTCACAGACACCGGGGGGGTCCCGGCCCCGAACCGCGGGGGAAGAACCACGGGAGGCCGTCCCGCGGCGCCGCGGGCGCTGCCCGGCGCAGGCACCGCCGGGCCCGTCCCGGTGCCCCCGTCCCGGCCCCGCAGGAATCTGCTGCCTCATCGCCCCTCCCCCGGCCGCACTCACGATCGTCTCGGCCATGGCGCTGCCCGCGGGCGCCGGGGGCTCGCCGAGCCGCTCACGCACGGCCCGTCCCGTCCCGCTCGGGCTGTCCCGGCCCGTCCCGGCCCTTCCCGGCCCTTCCCGGCTCCTCCCGGCCCGGCCCGGCCCCGCCGCCTCCCGGGACCGGCCCGCCCCCGCGCCCGCCCCCCCCCCCCGCCCC